AAGGTTCTCTCATATACCTTCCTTCTTCACAAGGTAAACATCTGTCAGATATCCAGTATTAGTTTTGCCTAATTTTTGAACTTCATATTGTGGAATTGTATCATACATATTCTTTGGTGTCTGGCTCTTTCACTCAACATATCTGTGATATTCATTCATGCTGAATGTGTCAGCACTTCTATTAAATTTCTGAGTGTTATTCCATTGTATAAATATGGGACAATTGCCCTAACCAATTTGGCTCAGTGGATAGAGCATCAGCCGTGGACTGAGGGGTCCCAGGTTTGATTCCGGTCAAGGGTACATGCCTGGGTTGCGGGCTTGATCCCCAGTAGGGGGTGTGCGGAGGCAGCCAATCAGTGATTCCCTCTCATCATTGATGTTTCTTTTTCCCTCTCCCTTCTTCTCTGAAATCAATAAAAATATATTTTAAAAAAATAAAAGAGCTTCTGTGGCTTTTTAATGAAAATGGTATATGTTTATTTGAATAAGAAAACAGGTAAAAAAGAATAAAAATGAACTTTTTGGGCTTCTCTCTGCCTATATATAATAATATCTGTGTGTATATTTTTTATTTACAAAAATGACACCATACTGTGGATATTATTTGCGGCCTATCTTACCACAGTCAGGGTCTTTTCATTTTGCTTGCTTGCAGGTGGGAATGGAAGTAGCCCCACATCTGAAAGAAAGTCTAAATAAGAACTTTTTTGACTTCCTCCTCACATTCAAACAGGTAAGAGAACACCGTCAGAACAGCTAATTGACGTAGCAGTTGCTCTGCCAAGCTGAGGTTGCTTAACACTCTTTAGATGTGTAAACCCTAGAAATCACACTGGCCTCCAGCACAGGCCATTGGAACATGTTGATGGCACTGACCAGGCAGAGAGAGCTGATGCGCATGTTGACAGGAGGCATCTCCAGTGGGTCAGATTTCTCTCTAATGCCTGTGGCTCCTGCTTTGTGCAGCACACATTTCCAGAGCAGCTCAGCTTAGCGACATGGAAAGCTTTGCTTGTTTTTCTAGTTTTTTTAAAAAAAAGCCCTGGAAAACCAGGCCATTTCTGTCAGGGTCACCCACATACTCACAGGTGTGCACAGTCATGAGTTACATGCTCTCTGTTTCTAATGTTACTTTCCCTCGTGTCTAAGTGTGTGTTTTGTCTCCTGTAGATTCATGGGGATACAGTACAGAACCATCTGGCAGTCCAAGGGGTGGAGCTCTCATCCTACCTCCCCTTGTACTCACCTGCCATGGACTGGATCTTCCAGTGCATTTCCTACCATGCCCCCGAGGTAAGTGCCATGCGCGTCGGTGTGAAGGTCACGTCGAGGGGTAGTGCGGGGCTCCTCTCTCCTCTGTTCTGTGGAATGACCTCTGCATCCGTTTGCCCGGTAGGGTAAATAGGGCTCTTTCATTGCAGAGGGCTCACCACTGTGGCTGGTCAGTACTCAGCACTTTTCCTAATTGTCTTGTTACAACTCAGATGGGTGTGTGGAAGCTCAGAGAGGCCAGTACTTACAGATGGTCACACAGCTGAAAAGTGGTGTGACTGCACATAAATCCATGGGAAAAGTTTATTCTGTGGTGGGAAAGGAAAAAGGGGCCTTTTCTACAGAACAAGGATACATAGTACAAATCAAAACTCAAGTATACCTGCCTTTTCCCAGAAACTGCAAACCACATTGGCAGCCCTAAAGAAAAAGGACATAACTTTGACTAAGTAATCGCACTCTAAAGAGTATTGCATAGAAATGATTAGACAAGTACACAACCCACACACGGGCATGCATATGTTTATGTTTGGTCATGCTAGAGGGAACTGGTTAACACATGGTTGACACGTAGTATAAGTGTTATCAGAGAAAACGTGTCTTGCCTCCCCTGGTTATTGCTGGGGGTAGAGTCCTTGCAATATCCCAAGAAAAGGAATTTTCTGAGACTCGTACAGGAGGATGCGATATAGTATAAAGCTTTATTTTTATGGAATTACACCCCTGGGTAGTCCCATTTCCCCTAGTCCAGTCCCAAAAGAAGTGTCGCTGGGATTTTAGAGCTAAATCAGAGCCAGCGTCCCGGGTTTCCTCTCCATGTTTTAGCTGGGTGCAGTTCAGCACCAGGCTAGTTGCAGTCCATCAGTCCTTTGTGTGTGGATGTCTGCATGGCTGTGGGCCACGTGGGAGAATACCAGGAAGCTAAGCAGGACCATGAGCCAAGCGTGCCAACAGGAGCCAAGAGAGTGAAGTTCTTTGTTCAGGGATTAGTGTCCTAGATCTTCCCGCACTTGCATGGCTTTTCACATCTGGCCAGTGGCTTCTGCTCCAGGTGTGACTGACAGGCAAGTACCATCCTTATGTCATCCACTTTTTTGGGCATGCGTCGGTCTGCTCTTTGTTGGATCCCTGCCCATGTTTTATAGGGAACATGCCTAGAATGTCTGGTCTTTCCCTTGCTGCTTTTGTTATTAATTACTAGCTAATTACAAGGGTATCATTTCCCCCTTAGAGAGAATGAACCTCTTTGTAATCTTACAAAGGATGAGTAGACAAAGGTCTTTATCTTTTCGTGGCTGTTTCCTGTTTTTAAGGGGTGTAGTCCTGCCAATCCCAAGGCCCAGAGGCTCTCCCCATTGGACAGAGGAGGGACAGCAAAAGGGGAAGGAGCTGCCTGCAGGGAAGAGGGGTTTTGCAAAGTCCAGGTCACTTGGAGGTGACATGGGCGGTGTCCTGGAGAACGCTGCGTTGGACAAGCTGGCATCCTTGTATTCAATAAATGACAAGATTGACCTGAAGGTTAAATGGCATCATTCAAAAGTGAGGAGACTTAAGCAACTACAGGTCATGTGAGGTAAAAACCCATGTGATAAAGGGAAAGGCTAACTTTCAGTGTCTCCCATTAGGTTAGGAAGGCAGGTGGGTCCCACCTGTCTGAGGCCCTCTTGTCCACCATACTTAAATTAAACGAAGGGAAATAGTCTAAGGTTTCCCGTGAGAAACTGGGCCATTCTGTCAATCATGTGGGCAGAAAAGGGAAAGGAATTTCAAGTGAAATACATACTTTATTGACCATCTATACTTTATTGACTTAACTATTGAGTCTCATATTTTAGGAGACAGTGATACCGATGGCTTCTATAGTGAGGCCTGTATTGTGTGAGCAAGTACTTAGGTAAATAAGGGCAGAAGCATACATTCTATGAAAAAGAAGGAAACAGAATACTAATGTACAGAGTAGATCATAAGCCAGTGGAGAAGACTTTCAGATGCAAGGCCCGTGATGGAATGAAAGAACACAGTGACGATGAATCCGGTGGGATGCTATGGACCCTTTAAAATGGTGGCAACTCACGTGGAAGATCAGTCTTTCCTGGCTTAAGGGTGTTCACAGTACAGTACTGAATGAATGCAGGAGACTGTACACACTGCTGTGCATGTCCCATGAGCCTTTGAGTAGAATGTATATTCCGTGGCATTGGGGTGAAGTGTTCTGAAGATGTCAATTAAGTCCATCTGATCTAGTGAGTCATTTAGGATTGCTGTTTCTTTGCTGATTGTTTGTCTAGAGGACTTATCCAGTGATGTCAGTGGTGTATTAAAGTCCCCTACTATGATTGTAGTGTTATCGATCTCTCCTTTGATATCTTAC